ATGACTCACTTGATGTGAAATTCCTGCCACCCCTGAGAGGTCATAAAAAACCAGATCTTCCCTTTGTGCTGGGGATTGGGCTGAGGATGCTGCCTGGGGCTGGGGGCTGCTGGAGAGACTCTCCCAGGGAATCTGTCCATCTGTCCTCTGGTCTTCCCCAACTCTGCCTTTCATGGCAGGGCCTCTCTCTCTCTCTCTCTCCCCCCCCCCAGGCTTTAAAGGGAATCACCTTGGTCTTTCTTGTTCAGATCTCCCAGTATTGCATGGTTTCTGTCCAGTGTGTTCCATTCCCCTAGAGGCCCAGTCATGACCTCAAGGTCCTTCTAGTAAACCTCACTGAAGAGAAGGTGCCGGCTCCCTTTCAGGACCAGCAGGCTTTACCTCTTCATGTTTAACACTTCAAAATCCAACTTGGCAAAAGAATGAGTTCATTGGGTTCACTTACGGAACACGGGCGAGGGGTTATTTATAGGAGATGAGTGCCTCCCCCTATCCCAAAGAGCCGGATCAGTGCACAGCCTCACTTCATCATGGACAGTGACCCAATACAATATTTACGTCATGGAGTCCTCCTTTTAGTTAATCTACCCCTTCCTATATGCTATATGGGATGAAGAGTATATATTCTCGTCTCTCACCACATCTCTTGCAGTTGAGGAGGGAAAAAGGCGGGCAATGGTTGGAACCCCAGGTGAGGATAGGAAGATGCTTCCACCCATCCATCTACTAAGGAGTGCTGATAGGTTCATTGGCATCATCACAGATCTCACTACTTCTCTACTGTTCAATTAGTTGCCATGGCTACCAGGCCACGGTGACTTCTATTCCAAGATGATGATTGGACGAGCATGTTATTTCTGGAGGAAAAATGCCATACTACAACACTCAATCTTCCCAGCGACTAAGGCCATGGACGTATGCCACCAAGCGCAGGAGAAAATCACCGTTTTCTCTATTCAACCACTATCTTCTCCAGGGCCTGCCTGACCTGGGGGAAACTCCAGCAACATTTCCATCCGCAAGAGTGAGGATGCTGCCCACCTTCAGCATGCCTCTGCTCCTTCAGCATCTTTCTCTTGAGTAAGGCTTGGATGTAGGGGGCATACAGGAGCTTGAGGCTGGACAAAAGGCTGCTGCAGGTGGTCGTGGCCTGAGCAGCAGCCTGGTCTGGATTCTAACACCAGAGGCTTGATCATGCCAGGCGTGCTCAATCCCCAGTACTACTGTAGCAATTGCTTTAAGAGAGAGGAGATCTAGTTTGGCTCCTCATTCCTCCAGGTCCTTAATGAAGGCAGAACTGATCCCGTAACTCTCTGGCCTTGCGTTGGCCTGCTTCCCAATTGTTCTCATTTATTCTTTGACTGTTGGAAGCTCTGCCTCTAACTCGAGCTTTAGTTCCAGGGTTTCTACTGCTCAGCCTATCGCAGGGCACTGGGTACTTTTCTGTTTGGTGATGCAGGGGAGTTAAACCTTTTTCCTCTTCTCCAAAGACTCAGCAGACTGACATTTGGAATGGCAAACAAATATATTGTGTGCATAAGCATGGGAACCTCACAAAATGTAAGACTCAAAGGGTTCAGCAATTGGAGCTTGTCAAATATCCTGAACTACAGAGAGACACAGAGGCTTGGGGCTTCTAGAAGCAGGTGGCCAACAGGTGAGGGGGACAAATGCACAGATAAAAGGCTGCTTTGCTGTGAGGACTCTGGAATGTTAGCACCACCCTCAGAAGAGTGGTAATGGCCTGTGGCAATCTGAATGACCTCATGTAGATTGTCTCTGGTTGGACATGTCTTGGCAAATGCCACTGCTTGTTCTCTGCCTTACATTTATGTAGACAGATGGACCTTTATCCCAAGGGAATGATTTTCAGAGCAATACTTGTGTCCACCCTTCCTGTGGTATGAAGTCTGTTTGGGGGAGGCATATATTGGTCTACTCTTGTACATACCATAAACAGGGAGTACTAAATCCTTGAAAGACTGAAGATTAAACTCAGGAATTTACACACGCTAAACAAGTACTTTCGCCATAACCATGGTTATTACCAGCAGGCCTTTGATGGGGATTAACCCCTCCCCACAACAGGCAGAGTCTTTTGCTCTAGGATGTAATTTTGATATGCAGCCCGGGCCAGTCTCTGATCCTTATTCAGCCTGGACTGACTTTGAACTTCAGATTCTCTTGCCTCTGTGTCGTCTAAATGCTGGGATTACAAGTGTTAGCTACCCGGTCCGGCACTTTATACATACATACATACATACATACATACATACATACATACATACTGCTACATTCCTTCTTTCTTATTCTCTCTCCCTCCCTCCCATCCATCTGTCCATCCATCATTTTACTACATAACCCAGGGGGCCTCCTGCCTCAGATTTGTGAGTGCTGGCATTCCAACCATGTGCCACCACACCCAGTCCAAGGCTGTCTTTCACCCCATGTCAGGTGTAGGATCTGACAATCAGAAATCTAGCTGTATTTGATTTTATAAAGGCGTGATTTCAAAGCCACACCAAGTCCCTGGGGTTAACAGCGCTGGGGACTTATTCCCCACAGGGCCTCGCGTTGTCTCTGACTGGCCTCAAACCCACTGTGGCCAAAGATGACTTTGAACTCCCGATCCTCCTGCCCCAACCTCCCCAGTGCTGGGATGACAGTCGGGCATCATCACGCCTGGTGTGTGTGGTCCTGGGGATGGAGCCAAGGCTTTATGTGTGAGCAATCTACCCGCTGAGGTACTTCATCTCTCAAAGATTTACCTTTGTTTGATTGTTTGTTTGTTTGGGGGCAGGGTCTCTCTATATAGCCCAGGGTCATCTGGAATCATCGTAGAAGAGGCTTGCCTTGAACTCATAGGTTTCTTCTTCCTTAGTGCTGGGGTTAAAGGCCTATGGCACCGTGCCTGGCTCAAGCCCCAAAGAACAAAAGTCCTTTTCTCTCTCTTCTTGAGATGGGTTATCAATGTTATCCAAATTAGCTTTACATTGCTCTCTCAAGCTACCCTCGTGTCTCAGCTTCCTGATTACCTTTGACTGTACAAATTGCCACGACACTTGTTTTTAAGATTTAAGATCTGGGGCTTTTGCTTGTGGTGCTGAGGATTGAACAATGCAGGACTTGCCCAACAAGAGCCTCATGACACTCTACATACGACACTCTTAAATGTATCTTAAAAAGCAGACCTGGTGCTGGAGAGGTAGCTCAGCTGTTAAGAGCACTGGCTGTTCTTCCAGGAGTCCTGAGTTCAATTCCCAGCAACCACCTGGTGGCTCACAACCGGCTGTAATGAGATCTAGTGCCCTCTTCCGGCCTGCTGGGACACACACATGCATGCAGAACATAATAAACAGATCTTTGCAAGGTGGTAGTGGTGCACAACTTTAATCCCAAAACTCGGGAAGCAGAGGCAGATGGATCTGAGTTCGAGGCCAGCCGGGTCCACAGAGTGTGTTCCAGGACAGCCAGTGCTACACAGAGAAACACCATTTCGAGAAAAACAAACAATAGATCCAGCCAGCTTGCTGCTCTGTCTCGGATTACAGACGCACCACATCTGTCTTCAGCCTCGAGGCCCAATTCCTTCAATAGCACGATAACTACCAACTAGAAAGTTTGTAAACACTGGGGTGCACTTATGTATAAGCGTGATGTTTTTTTTTTTCATTTAAATTTTTATTACGTGTATGTGTCCGTGCGCATGAGCGCAGTTGCGTAGGGAGACGAGGGTGTTGGATCCCCCAGAAGCTACACTTCCGGGTTTGTGTGCTGCTGAGAACCGGAAAAGGAAAGCATGCACTCCGTAGAGAGCTATCTCCCCAGCTCTATTTTTAAAGTCTGAAAAGGAGCTCCAGCAGCTGGCGGGGTGGGTTTAAAATACCACACAGCTGTTTGTCACTCTTGGCTTCCGTTTTGGTAGCAGCAACGCTTGGGGTACGAATCTGCGTCGCTACCGTTGCGGTTTGAGCAGTAAACAACACACGAAACAGGAAATCCAAAACCAAAAACCAAAAACAAACAAAAAAACCCCAGATCGCTAAAAGAGCGCGCGCCGCACCTGCACCTGCGCGGGGCGGGGTCCGGGGCAGCGACCCCGCCCCACCACCGCTTGTGCGCGCGCACGTACCGCGCGGCCGCCGAGGCCCCGCCCAAGCCCGTTTCCTATTGGCCCGGGCGGCGGGGCGGCCGTGCGCGTGCGCGCCCAGGTGCCCGGATGGGCCTCGACTTCCAGTGCTCTACCCTCGGGCGAGCGGTAGCAGGCTCGCGCTGCCTGAGTCCGGTTTCCCGCCTGGGGAGGAGGCGGCGGCGGCGGCGGCGGCGGCGGCGGCGGCGGCGGCGGCGGCGGCGGCGTCCTGGGCCCGGGTAGCCGAGAGGCGGCCGCGCTCTCAGTGAGGAGCTGCTGCCGCTCGAGCACTGGAGCGAAATGGTCGCCCAGGCCCAGGCCCAGGCCCGGGCCTCAGTGCATTCCTTGAAGGGCCGGCCGGGAGCCACGCGGGGGTGAGCAGGTAGGCGCCGGGGCCCGTGGTTCCCGCGGCCGCCGCGGCTCAGCCGCAGGCCGGGCCGGCTCGCGGGGCCGCGGGGCCCAGGCTGGGCGGCCGCCCTCCCGGCAGGCCCCGCGCGCGGCAGGGCGGGGCGGGGCGGGCGGGCCCGGGCGGGGCGGGGCGGGCGGGCCCGGGCGGGGCGGGGCGGGCGGGGCGGGGCGGGGCGGGCGGGCCCGGGCGGGGCGGGGCGGGCGGGCGGGCGCGGTGGTCGCTGCCCTCGCGCCGGGCTCGCTGCAGGCAGCCAGGGCCCGGCGAGCCTGCGGTCGCGGGCGCCTGCGTCCCTCCCGGCACCCGGGGAGGGGCGGCCCGCGCGGGCTGACTCAGCTTTTCCGGTTGGGCTGGTCAAGTTGGGGCAAGTCCGGCGCCGCCCGTTGCCGGCGCTGAGTCCTGACTTGCCTCCTGCCCTGCCGGGGCTATTTAAACCCCCGTGGTTCCCCGCAGCTGCCGCGTGCCGGCCAGCGGACAGGGGACCCCCGCGACCTCCCCGGCGACCGCGGAGCCTCTCCTGCGAGCACCGAGGTAAGCAACAGCCCGCTGAACGTCTGCCGGTAAAGAAAAGACGCCTTCTGTCTCCTCTGAAATTTTTTTTTCGCACGTATTTTAACCACTTCACGTTTTTATCGAGTGTGTGTTTTTTCTTTTTCCCCCGCTTGTAGGCCAATGTGCAATACCAACATGTCTGTGTCTCCTGATGGTGCGCCAAGCACCTCACAGATTCCAGCTTCGGAGCAAGAGACTCTGGTTGGTATTTTTGTCGTGGGTGTGTAAAAGTGACTTTATTTTTTTTTAACCAGGTAATCGAGTTAAGAACTTTGAACCCAAGTTAGAGCACATGTATTTTAAGTAGAAACTGTTCCTCGGTTGTAATTGCATTGTAACAGCGAGAGCCGGTGTGTTCGCAGCAGACTAGGGAAATGAGTTCCATTACATCAAGTGTGGATGCAGGTGTTTATGGCGTGCATTTTCTGGTTTTTCCTACCACCGTTTAACTTTTTAGACGATAAAGTAGTGCGTGCCTCTTGTGAAGACTTTAGTCACTACAGGAATGCATAAAATAAAAACTCATTGCTCTCTCTTTCTCTCGTTTCTTATTCTGTGTTAACACATAAGCTGTGTTCTACAGCTTGTCAGTGAACTACAGAATTACTTTTAATGGCTGCTTAGCATTTGTACATGAGTACACCATTTGAGCATTTTCCTTAGGTCTTCATAGCTTTTTTTGTTTGCTTTTGGTGTCAGGCATGGAACCCCACCCAGCCTTTGGGGTGTGGGTGCATAAGTACTCCCCTACTGAGCTGAGCTACTGTCTGCCCTATGACCTGGTGGTAGATGTGAAAGTCCTCTCCTGTTTTGTGAGTAGAATAAGTATGTGATTATTCTGTAAGAAAGATAGGGAGATAGAGATCATGAGACCTGAATAAACACATTTGCTTGCTACCTGGTAACTGGTTCAGCCAAAGGTGATGATAGTCTTCAAGCCTGCCAGCGCTGAATCAATTTTTCTTTCTTGGCGTGATTTTGAACGTATTTGTGAAGAATACCGTGATGATTTGGGACATGCATGCAAATCAAGGCAGTTAACTTTCCATTTTCTTAAACATTTATACTTTTTTTGTTGTAAATCTTCAAACTCCTGGTTCTTTGTAAAATATGTCATAAGACTGTGAGCCAATTCCTATCATCACCGGACCGTTGTTTTAGTGTATATGCCCCAGATCTCTGGTGAGGCAACACATCTTTTCATTTGTTAAGTGACTTGTTTACTCTGAGGTCTGCCCAATCTCTCTCTTAGTCCCCCTCTTCCTGCCTTCCCTCTCCCTTTCCCTCATTCCCTTTTGCATTTTCCTAGTAACTTGCATAACTCTCTCTTCTTCGCATTTCAAGTGTAGTAGTTATTATTTTAGTACTGTATGCAACTTGATGTTGTTTTCCCTCTGACAAGGTTTTTATATAGTCAGGCTTGTGTGTTTCCATGGCTTTTAACTTTCTTATTGCTTTAGAAAGCATTCTTCCATTTCAACATTATGTACATACTTATTGTATTTTCAGGTAGTGTTTTGAAACTTTTGGGGGGGGTGTGGTTTGAGACAAGAGTTTCTCTATATAATTCTGGCTCTTTTGGAACTCTATAAATCAGAGATCCTCCTGCCTCTGCCCCCTGAGATTATGTCACCACCATCTGGTGGCATTTATTATGTGAAGATCTTTACAGGGTTGTCTTTTTATTCTCAAGTATAATATTACAAACAGTGTTGTCTTTTTGTAGTAATTTGTTTTGTTTTTAAACCAGCTCTTACCTTGTAAGTCTTTCCATTGTAGAGTTCTGATTTGAGTTAGTTTAATATGTAAAAACTTAGGAGATGCTTGCTTGGGCAGTACATATGCTAAAATTGACACAGCACAATGACTTCTGCATGAGTGACATGAGAATTGGCTCAGGGGTTCAGAGGGGTTCAGAGCACCGGCTGCTCTTACAGAGATCCTGAGTTCAATCTCCAGCAACCACATGGTGGCTCACAACCATCTGTAAAGAGATCTGGTGCCCCCTTCTGGCCTGCAGGCACACATACAGACAAAACACTATATATATAATAGTCCTTTTAAGAAGAAAAGAATTAAAAAGTAATTTTCAAATCTTCCAAGAGTGAATATTTTGAGACAGGGTTTCTCTGTATCCTTGATTGCCTGGAACTCACTCCAAACCAGGCTGGCCTTGAATGCACAGAAATCTGCCATCCTTTGACTTCTTCTGAGTCCTGGGGATAAAGGCATGCACTGCCATGTCCAGCTGGTTCCCATTTCTTTTATAAAACTAAACTCCCTTCTGTTTCCATCTTCCAAAGCCTCCAATAAACTTTTCCTCTCTTTACATTCCTTTTTTTTTTTTTTTTTTTTTTTTTTTCTCCTCTGTGGCTTTGGAGTTGTTCTGCTCTGTAGACCAGGCTGGCCTCAAACCCACAGAGATCTGCCTGCCTCTGCCTCCCAAGTGCTGGGACTAACAACTGGCTTTGCCTTTTTTTTTTTTTTTTTTTTTTTTTAAGGGTTACTATTTATGTAGCTGGGTGTTCTATTTGTCTATATGTCTGTGCATGGTGCTTACAGAGGTCTAAGAAGGAATCAGATCCTCTGGAATAGTAGTTACAGCTGTGAGCTGCCATGTGGGTGCTGGGTGGGAATTGAACCTGGGTCCTAAGGAAGAGCAGCTAGTGCTCTCAGCTGCTTCCCCAGCCCCTCTCTCAAATTCATGACTTTTTTATTTTGTTGTACACACACTCTCTGTCTCTTCTAAATACAGCTTGCCATGTGTGAATAATCATGTGTGTGTGTGTGTGTTTTCAGGGCTAACCATTTGGAACTTGATTACCTATTTGTGCACACTTGAGTAAATACACTTTAAAAAGAATTTAAAACTGCTAAACATAGTCCTTAAAAGAAAGAAGTAGGGTTGGAGAGAGGGCTCAGCAGTTAAGTTCTCTTTGCTGCTCTTGTAAGGGACCCAGGTTTGATTCCCAGCACAAATAGAGTGGCTCAACCTTGTTGGGCCAGTTCCAGAGGTCCCAGGGCCTCTTGGTCTCCAGAGACACCTCATGCGCACAGTGCACTTACATACATGATACATACAGTCAAATATCAATACACATGAAATAGAAATACATAAGAGTTTTTACAACACCAAGACATGCCAGGCAGTGGTGCGCACCTTTAGTCTCAGCGTTGGGGAGGCAGAGGCAGGAGGATCTCTGCGAGTTTGCAGCCAGCCTGGTCTACAGAGCGAGTTTCAGGGCAGCCAGAGCTGTTACACAGAGAAACCCTGTACTCCCCCTCCCCAAAGAAGACCTAAAAGTCTGTCCTAATAGGTAAAGACAACTAAGTGACTAGGAGCCCTGGCTACTCCTCAGTGGGCCTGGGTTCCATTCTCGGCACCCATGTGATGGCTCACAGCCGTCTGGAACCACTTCTAAGAGATTGAAGACTTCTGGCCTGTCTGGGGACCAGGAACAGGAGTGGAGCACAGAAGTAAAACATCCAAAAGTTGTCCTTGTGGGCACCCGTAGTTACAGAACACAGGCTAATGGGAGCCATGCTCGTGAAGCTGTAAACGGGAGGAGCAGCTTCAGAGCAGTGCGTGACTGATGATGGTAAAGCTCTGATTTGAGACTCAGGTGGCTGTACCAGTCCAGTCACTGTGTCATGCTCTCCTTGGTGTCACTGTACCAGTGGATACTGGCTCACCAGCTGGCTGCTCGGTGGGCCACACTGGCCACAGTTGCCAGTTAGGTGGCAGTTGTTCGGTTTTGTTTTGTTGTTTTAAGGATTTTTATGTGTATGAATGTTTTGCCTGTGTGTATGTGTACCATGTCCATGCCTGGTGCCTCCAGAGGCCAGAAGAGAGTGTCATCTCGTGAAACTCAAGTTACAGTGCTGGGGACCAAAGCCAAGGCCTCTGTGAGCAGCAACTGTGCTCAACCTCTAAGCTCTCTTCAGCCTCACCAGTTATTCTCTTACTACTGGGAAAGGTAGATGAGAGTCAGACAAACTGGGAAATCTGACCTGTCTGTCCACCCCCCGCCCACACACACACATATTCACACACACACAAAGAAAGACAGGGTTCCACAGTGTAACAGCCCTGGCTGTTCTGGACTCCTGTGTAGACCAGGTTGACCTTGAACTCACAGAGATTGCCTGCCTCTGCCTGTTACTAAAGACATGTATCACAACTGTCCAGCTTGACTTGTTTTTGTAAATAAAATTTATTATGTATCCACTCATACATATATATATAGTGCTTTTATATCGTATGTCTCTTTTTTGGTGGCAATATCTGGCCTTTTTGAGAGCATTATAAATGATTATAAGTGAGTATTTGAGGTGTAAATCACATAGGCAGATAATATTGAACTGTAATTGAGGAACATGCATTGTAGTCTTGAATTGCTCATTACCTCTGGTTTGAGTTTGTTCTGTAGGAGTGTAAAATAGGTTGGTGATAGGTTTAGTCCTAAAGACATACTCTTCTTCATTCTGTAAGTTTCCTTACAGCAGACCATTGGGTTTATACAGTACAGTAAGCATATTGGAGCTGAACTGGATTATGTGGTAGTAAATGTAATAGACTGGACTCCCCATGTATGTGCAGTCTCTGCAGAAGCCACAAGAGGGTGTTGGAGCACCTGGAATGGACCAGGGTTTCAGGTAGCAGTGAGGTGCCTGTTGGTGCGCACTGGGAACTGAATTTGGTCTTGTGCTTAATCTCTGAGCCCCTTGATCACAACTAATAGTAATTAATGATTTTATGATACTTGTGTATTAGCTTTTTTCCAAAGCATTTCCCCTCTTTGGTGGTGTGTGCTATTCCCTTTATGAAGTCTGTTGCACTTAGTGTAAAACTCAACTTCTTGAGGTCTGACTTTGTAACAAATGGTTAAGCGCGGTATTTGGTGCCTCCTTTGGACTGCTTTCTGGACAGACTTGCAGGGCTTATGGGGTATGCTCTCATGGGTGACAGTAGCTCTTCTCTTTCCAGGTGAGGCCGAAACCGTTGTTTCTGAAGTTGTTGAAGTCTGTGGGTGCGCAGAAAGACACCTACACTATGAAAGAGGTGAGTGGAGCCGAGGCAGGGAGCCAGTGTCTTAATAGTCACAGCTGAGCGCATGCTTTCCAAGCTTGAGGGTGAGCTTGGCCATACGGGAAGAATGTGTATTAAGGACATTGTTTGTGACCATTTGAACTATACTTCGAAGCTAAGAATACTCATTTATATGGCTTTCTTTTTTTGAGCTCTGATTGTCCTGGAACTCACTCTGTAGACCAGACTGGCCTCTCACTCACAGAGATCCTCCTGCCTCTGCGTCCTGGGTGTGTGTTACCACACTCAGCAGTGTGTTTCATTTTTTAACTGGAAACCCAAACAGAAAGAAGTAGTATAGAATTCTTGGTGTTTTTGTGCTGTGAACTCCTTTGGCAAACTGGTAAAAGTATTAGATCCATCCATAAGTCCTCAGAATCATTTAAATTCATAACAGTAAGCAAATTTGTGATATTATACTTTTTACGTAATTTTTAATTTTTAAGTCGTATTTATGTGTATGTGTACATGCACAGGGGAGATTAAAGGACATTTAATATTAATATAGTTTAATAGTAATAGTTGGGGCCATGGACTAGTTAGGTGGATTACTTAATAACTTTGACACTATTTCATTGGGAGATGTAATTGATGGTTTTCTTGTTCCTCTGGGATGACTTCAGAGCTGTTGAAGCCTATGTTTGTAACGTTTGTCATTGCTCCAATTTACTGCCATATTTTAGTTGATTTTTTTTCTCTTCAACTTCTTTCCTAGTATGTTAGAATCTAGCTTTCTGGGCAGAATTAAACTTTATGAGAAAAAGAAAAGAAAGAAACACATTAAGTAATATGGAGGAAATGTTCAGAGGAGCTGCTTCTAGACACAGACTGGTCTTACACATGATTGTGGGTGTTACTAATGTATGTGCAACAGAAACTTTCTGTAATACTTAGAAACCGTATCTCTATTTCAGATTATATTTTACCTTGGCCAGTATATTATGACTAAACGATTATATGATGAGAAGCAGCAGCATATTGTGTATTGTTCAAATGATCTTCTAGGAGATTTATTTGGAGTGTCGAGCTTCTCTGTGAAAGACCACAGGTAAATGAATCAGCGAGGCTGCAGCTCACCTCCATCTCTGTCAGAGAAAACCTGTAGCTGTGTGTGCAAATGGCAGAATGGGGTTCAGCGTCCGTGCGCCTGGTCCTGTCCCTGATATTGGGGGTGGGGTGTGAGTTCGTACGTTGTTTGGGAACCTGAACTCAGGAATCTTAAAACCCTGCTGTTGGGTTGGTTGGTTTGTTGTTTTTAATTGTGCATGTACCATGTGGGTGTGGAGTTGAGGGATCCGCCCTCCTCCCAGTGTGTGAGTCTTCAGGACTGAACTCAGATCCACTAGGCCTGACTTGACTTAGACACAAGTCTAGTCATTACTTGTGTAGGTGTGTAAGTGGGTCTTACTTCTTCCAGCCTGAGGTTCTCTGTTTATACTTTTTCTCTTCCTTACAAGGAAAATACATATAATGATCTACAGAAACTTGGTGGTGGTAAGTCAGCAAGGTAAGTTGATTTTGAATACTGTGAAAGTGCTGTAACTTTAAAGACAGTTCTTTTTGATTCAGGGTCTCATGTATCCTAGTCTAACCTTAAACTCACTGTGTAGCTGAGAAACCTGAGCTTTTAAATATTTTGAGTAGCTTATGATAGGCATCTGTGGTGTGAGACACGGGTACCATGGTGTACATGTGAAACTCAGAAAACAACTTCATGGGATTAGTTCTCTTTATGTGGGTTCTAGAGATCCACCTCAGACCTTTACGCTTACAGGCAAGCATGTTTACCTTCTGAGCCATCTTGCCACCCCCCCCAAAAAAAAAAACACCCACCTTTACGAGTGCTTAACTCGAATGTGTGGTTTTGTGGCTGTAACCCTTCACTGTAAAGGGTAAAACAAAACACCACAGAGACGTTGTTACTATGTGCTTTAACTGTATTTCTGGTTCTCTTATTTTTAGTCAGCTCTTTAAGTGCCCACTAATTTTTTTGTAAATTATTACTCAGTGTTTAGACTCCATGTATGTCTACCATCCATGTGCAGTGCCTGTGAGGACAGAGAGGCTGTCAGGTCTAGAACTGGGTTACAGGTGGTTGTGAGCTGCTGTGCCAGTGCTGGGAATTGGATAGAGACTCTCTGGAGTAGTAGCTAGTTCTCTCAACTACTGAGCCATGTTTCCAGCCTCTGTTTACTTTTTTGTTTTGTTTTGAGATTGTATCCTTATAAATTACCCAGCCTGGTTAGGAGCTCAGTTTTTCTGCTTTCTTGCCAAGCTGCTGGGTTACAGCCCACATGGCATTTATTCCTTTACTCAGCACTGCTGGGAATCGAACACAGGGCCCTATCTGTGCTTGGAAAGTGTTGTACTAGTTAGCTGCCTCAACAGCCGTACACTTTATTCTTATTCTTCAAAAATTAAAAATGCTGGGAGGTGGCGGCAGCAAGTGTCTTTAATCCCAGAAGTGTCTTTAATTCAGAAGGCAGAGACACGTGTATCTCTGTGAATTCAAGACCAACCTGGTCTACAAAGTGATTTCCAGAACAGCCAGAGCTGTTAAACAAGAGCTGTTAAACAGCTGTCTTGACACCCTCCCACCCCACCCCCATTAAAAACAACTTTTTAAATTGTGTGTGTGTGGTGGGGGGGTTGCCTGTTATGTATACCTACCTCTAGTGTGCAGTAGCCACAGAACCCAAAGGGTGGCATTGATCTACTAGGATTGGGGTTAGACTGTTGTGAGTGAGCTGCTATGTCTTGGAAGAGCATCCAGTGCTCTCAACCTCCAGAAGAACCTTCCTTTGAAAAACATTTAGTTATGAAGCCTGGTGTGACACATACATTCAATTTCGCATTTGGGAGGCAGATGGACCTGTCCAGCCAATTCTACATAATGAGACCCCGTCTCAAAGGAAAAAAGAGATTTCATTTATGTGTGGGTATGTGCACATAAGTGCAGATGTCCACAGGGGTGTTATAGTCTCTGGAGCTAGAGTAACAGGTGATTTTGAGCCACCTGATATGCACGCTGTGATACCGAACTTTTCCACTGTAATAGCAGCATGTGCTTTTACCCAATGAGCCCATCTCCAGTCCCAGGATTTTCCTTAAAAAACAACAAAAACTACATCTATTTGTGTGTCTGTGAGCACTTTTTTGTGCTGTGATATGCATTTGGAAGTCAAACGACAACTTGAGAGGGTCAGTTCCCCGTCTGTCATGTGGGTTCTGAAGATGAAACTCTGGCTTGAGCTCAGGTTATCAGGCTTTGGTGACATGGTGCTTATTTTCTGAGCCATTGTTTCCAGTGATTTTGTGCTTCACGGGTGCTTTCATTAAAGGCTTGTGCCGTCACCACCAAGTTGTATATAGGAGTTTTATGATCGCTCCCTGGGGAGAATAGTTCTATGAGCTTGTGTGTGTGTGTGTGTGTGTTTGAGACAGGTTTCTCTGTGTAGCCCTGGCTTTCCTGGAACTCACTTTGTAGCCCAGGCTATTTTAAAGTTGAATTATCTCCAGGTTTTAGCATGCAAATGACATTTGGGACTACATGGTTAATGTTGAAAGGTTAAATTTTCTGTAGCACTGTGTTAGATTGGAATATGTTGAATTCTTGTTTTTTTTTTTTTGTTTTGAGTCAGTTTTTACTTTCTCTTATTAGAGTCTTCAGACTCGGGCACATCAGAGAGTGAGAGCAGATGTCAGCCTGAAGGTTGCAGTGATCAGAAGGTAGTAGTAGAATATATTTCTTACTCTAATACAGTGTTTCTTTCTAAAAATCTCTGTATGTATGTATTGTCTGAGTGTGTGAGCATGTGTGTGCATCCTCGGGCCAGAGAAGGATGTCATATCGCCTGGAGCTGGACTTACAGGTGATTGTGAGCTGTCCAGACGTTAGTGACAGAAGCCAAAGTTACCCAGGCAAGAAAAGGACATGTTCTGAATCTCTGAGCCATCTCTCCAGCTCCATGACAAAAACTTCTTGAAGCCTGGCAGTAGTGGTGCATACCTCTAGTCCCAGCACTCAGGAGGCAGAGGCAGGCAGATCTCTGTGAGTTCAAGGCCTGCCTGGTCTGCAGAGCAAGTGTCAGGACAGGCTCCAAAGTAATACAAAGAAAACCTGTTTCGAAAAAACCAAAAGCAAAAAAACAAACAAAACAAAACAGTTCTTGAATGCTGGGAAGATTATATAAAATAGAACTTGGAAGAGGCTGTGCTGTGTATTTGATTTGTCTTTTGTGTGTGTGTGTGTATTTAGGACCCTGCACAAGAGCCACAAGAAGAGACGCCTTGTTCAGATTCAGTTTCCAGACCATCTACCTCATCTAGAAGGAGAACAATTAGTGAGACAGGTATATGTGACTTAATTATCTGGGTTCTTTCTCTACTGCATCCGTTTTCATCATCAGAAAACACAAATATTTAATTATGATTCTTAACGTTAGTAAAATTACAGTTAAGTAGCAACATGAGGGACCATGTTAAAAGGGTCACAGTATTAGGAAGGTTGAGAACCACTGCTCTAGAGCCCTAATTTTGGTTCTTTTAGTAAGAGGAGATGAAGTCTTGTTTCTGTTTTAATTCTTGAGACCAAGTCCCTGTATAGACCAGGCTGGCCCCAAACTCACAGATTCACCTGCCTCTGCCTCCCAGGTGTTAGGATTAAAGGTATGCACCATACCTTGCATAGTCTTATTTTTAAAGCCTGGTGTTGACAGAGAAATTGTATATTGTTGGGGCAGTAAACGCACTGCATGGATTAAGTTTATTGTAGTTTGTTGAGGTAAAGTTCAGAAAAAACATTGGAAGCTTTTAAATGTCCTTAGCTGGACAGATCCAGTGAGGCACTTACTTGACTTGGAATGTAAGTGGTTGCCTTTCTGTTTAAATTAATTGAAATTAAATTTTGTTAGAAATACAGGGATTTTACTATCCGTTCTCTTAATATGCAGAGGAAAACACAGATGAGCTGCCTGGTGATCGACAGAGGAAGCGCCACAGGTCCCTGTCCTTTGACGAAAGCCTGGCGTTGTGTGTGCTAAGAGAGATATGCTGTGAAAGAGGCGGCGGCGGCGGCGAGCCCACAGAGACCCCCTCAGATCAGGTAGGCTCCGGCTGCCTGCGAGGAATGCCATGGCTGAGGCAGCTTCCCTATGAGCTTATGGTTGCCACTCCAGAGGGGTAAGGAAGTGCCCAGCATGTGGGGGCGGTGGTGGCGAGGCCAGAGGTAGGCATGGTTTTCGGAGCAGGAAGCTGAGAATTTGCATCCGTAGCAGCAGGCATGAAGCAGTCTGTGTAGCGTGAGCAGGAGGAGGGAATGATGGTACAGGATGAATTAATAAACTCTTAGTGAGGCACAGAGGCACTGAGTTCACTGTGTTCCTTCTCCATAGGGTCTTGATGATGCTGTAAGTGAACACTCGGGTGATTGGTTGGATCAGGATTCGGTTTCCGATCAGTTCAGTGTAGAATTTGAAGTTGAGTCTCTTGACTCGGAAGATTACAGCCAGAGTGAAGGAGGGCAGGAGCTCTCAGATGACGATGATGAGGTGGGTCTCCATGCTGGTCAGCTCTTAATAAGACCGAAGACTCACTTGATCCTGGATTTTTGATTTGTGGACTTAAGGCAAAATTTTATGGTTTCTTGCCTGGTTTGTTAGTCTCATATACTAACACAGACACTTGGTGGACATTCTTGTAATGGCCTGCCCACAAATTTCTCCATTTTACTCTCCCACTTACTAATGTGTTTGTTTAAGACAGTATCACCATGTGCCCTGACTAACCCTGAACTGGCTGTATAGACCAGGCTGGCTTAGAACTCACAGTGATCCGCCTGCCTCTGACTTCTGAGTGCTGGGATCAAAGGCAAACACCACTTCTGTCCTCCCTTTTTGTACTAACTTGGTTTTTTGTTTGTTTTTAATATTTACTTATTATGTATATATTGCATATAACATTTGCCTGCCATCCATCAGATCTCTTTACAGATGGTTGTGAGCCACCACGTGGTTGCCGGGAATTGAACTCAGGACCTTTGGAAGAGCAGGCAGTGCTCTTAACCGCTGAGCCATCTCTCCAACCCCTCTAATTTGTTTTTCACAAACATAAAACATGCAACAAACAGTTACAAGTGTCAGTACCTGTATATCTCTTTCTTGGGTGTGACTGTACCTTTAACGTTTCTCATTGTTTTCTGGTTAATAGTCTGAATTTATAAAGTAGGTTTTCTTGAATATTTTGTTTGGTTTAAGTATTTAACAATTGTGGCCATGGTGTGTGAAGAGTTTATTGTCTTACGTTTTCTACTTGACTGGAACTGAGTTTGACTTCCCCTTCAGAACTTCTCATGGTCATTTGGTGGCTCAAGCTATTTGTTTAGGACTTAATTAAGAATTCAGATTTCTTGGTTAAAAGGTGGTAAATTGATGCTAATAAATTTGTCTTACTAGGTCTATCGAGTCACAGTGTATCAATCGGGAGAAAGTGATGTAGACTCCTTTGAGGGAGACCCTGAAATCTCCTTAGCTGTAAGTACCCTGATACTTGACAGACATACAGACAATGCTGAGGTGAGAACTGTGAACATGTGCTTAATTTACTTCTTAAAGTGAGGCGGTGTCATACAGCTAAAACTTGTCAACTCTTACGACTTACAACACTTTCCTTCTTTGTTACAGTGTGATCTGTTGCTATATTTTTTTGGTTTTCTGCGGTAGAATTTAAAACTTGAATATATCGAACCCATTGAAATGTCCATTCCTGCCTTGAAAGCCATTTTGTTTGGTTTTGGTTAAGAGTGGAAGCCACACATAACAAGAATCAAAGAGTCAATGTGGGAGAATATATAGATTACCCTCATCGCTTCTGTATTAGTCTGCGTGCTGGGCAGTGTAAACTGGGTACATTTATTCAGGGTGCCCTAAGAAGTGTCCTCAGGCAAAAAAATCCAGGATGTAGGATATGTTCACTGACAAGGCAGAGGTGTCCAAGAGTTTGCCTTCCCAATTGTGTAAAGAGAAGTTGGGCTCAGGGGGTTACACCAGGCAGTTAGAGTGCAGGGGACCATTGGCAAGGGTTGTGGGAGAGTGCCAGATTTGAGCTCTAGCAGCTGACAGAATTGTTGTAGACTTGTGGATGAAAACGAGGTGTTTGGTTGAACTGTGACCTTTGGAGCATGTCTGAAAGAATGTCAGGGATTGCTATGTTGGAAGTGTTTCCCTAGGAAAAGCAGATTTCATCTGGATTTTTCCTGTAATGTCTAGGCAGTGTTCAGGGTTGAGCTTTGAAGGAAGTGGGTGCAGATTTAAATACAGAGGGAGAAAAGCATGCTGTGCCATTTACTCAGTAAGTGGGTAAGCTGTGTCTGTCCTCAAGCACATAGAACTTGATAGGTACACAGTACCACAGTGAGTGCTTGTAGCTTTGGGATTTCCCACTATGGGAAGGAAGACAGAAGCATTCAGGGTCATGCACATGCCAACAGCTGTGTCCCCAGCCCAGCTGACTGTATGTTTGTAAAAAAACTTCTAAAAAGTAATATATTTGGGGGCTTATAACTTTTTCAGCCCCCCCCCCCTTGTTTTTTAAACAGTGCTAGGGGTTGATCCCAGGCCTAAGAAATGGGCATCTGTTATTTTCACATAGTTCTTTTTTGTGTGTGTTCATGTATGGAAGGGGCCTTAAACCTTCTCTCTTAGCTGATTTCTGGAACACAGCATTAACTACATTCCTCGTTCTTTTTTGCCTGTTTTATCTAAAACATGAAATGTGGAAAAGTAAACTGATAGACTTTTACCTCAGGCATATTGAAGGTACTGGCCTAATTAAAGAGCTTGCTCGTGTCTTCTTTTATTGAAGGACTATTGGAAATGTACCTCCTGCAATGAAATGAATCCTCCCCTTCCGCCCCACTGCAACAGATGTTGGACCCTTCGTGAGAACTGGCTTCCAGAAGATAAAGGGAAAGATAAAGGGGACACCTCGGAAGAAGCCAAACTGGAGGCAGAAGGCTTAGATGTGCCTGATGGGAAAAGACCTACAGTGAATGATTCTAAGGAGTCCTGCGCTGAGGAAAATGACGATAAAGAAATATATACCTCCCAGTCACAAGAGAGTGAGGACTATTCCCAGCCGTCAACTTCAAGCAGCATAGTCTATAGCAGCCAAGAGGACGGCAAAGACTGGGAGAAGGGGGAGACACCAGACAAGGAGGACAGTGTGGAATCTGGGTTCTCTCTAAACGCCGTTGAACCATGTGTGATTTGCCAAGGGCGGCCTAAAAACGGTTGCATCGTTCATGGCAAAACGGGGCACCTCATGTCATGTTTCCCATGTGCAAAGAAGCTAAAGAAAAGGAATAAGCCCTGCCCAGTGTGCAGACAGCCAATTCAAATGATCGTGCTAACTTATTTCAGCTAGCTGAGCTGCCCGGAAAAACAGAATTATATATTTCTAAGAATATAACTCCCCAGATTTATTTTTATCTGCATACACTAAAATGAGAAAAGTGTCTCAATCCTTGTAAAATTTGTTGTACAATTTATCTCCTTGAGAGTAAGAAAGAGAATGCTTCCTTCCTTTTGGGATAACTTCACTTGGTCATATTTTACACTGGGGCTTTGATGTAATCTGCATTGGCTGGGCAGCTCCTCTTAGGTTTTAGTAATTCCCTCTCGGAAGGACTGACTGTTGGAAGTGGACTGAGTCCTGCTACTGCCAATGGTGACAGCCCTTTCTGAGCAGTGGTTCCGCAAGAAGTGTTTGATTTCCTCCTCCTTCCTCTAACAAAGAACTCTTAATTTATTTAGTACCTCTCGTGTAAGGAGTTAAAAAGCTGTGTGAAGGATTGCATATTTAAGTTATTGAAACTCCTTAGTTCTCCAGTGGTTATAGGCTGGAGAGGTGATGCAGCTGGTAAAAAGGCACTTGCTGTGTAGATGACAGAATTTTGATCCCTGGAACCCAAAAAGGGGGAAGGAGGGCACCAACCCACAAGGTTCCCTGACCTCACTGTCCTCCAAGGTTGAACACTCTTAGGCCCTCAGAAAGCTCCTTGGGCTCAGCCCTGTGCTCCCTGATGTTGCCTAAGTATCCAGCTGAAAGACTTTAAAACATGCATAGTATTTCCAGATGACTTCTCCATCCATGTAGATTAACCTCTTGATTCATAATAGGAATCTTTCCCTTTGATGAAAGGGCCCTGTGTTTTTCACATGCTCAAGTATAGAAAATAAAATCAACTGGTCTGTAAGTTTAGAATAACCAAAGAATAGTTTTGTACTAACCTTGTTGACTTAAGCATTGAAAAGAAAAAACACTCCTCCCCATGGGGAAGCATCTCACATCCAAGGAGAGCAGAGGTGTGAGTCTTCAGCTCTGGCCCCTGTAACCCAATCCTTGGGGAATTCTAGTCTCTACAATATTTAGGTGTGGTATAATACATTATTTATTTGCAAATAAATGGTTTATTAAATATTTAAAGCATTGTTTCAAGAGCTTCATTGAATCATACATTTTTCGTAACAGTCTACATGCCAACGAGTCTGGATGTCTGCATCTGGCTGTATTTTATTTTCCCACTCTGCTGTGATGCTGTCTGGACCGGGGCAGGAGGAGCAAGGGCAAATACTGTTGTCACTGCTGTTTGTGGGCCAGCAGGTGCAGCCTGGCTTAGGGAGCGAGTGTCACTGGTGGTGAGTGGTGTAGTACAGCCGTATTGAAATTGTTTTCTTTGAAATTAAATCCCAGGAGCCAGGAAGTGACTGAAGGCTGGTGAGTGAACTCAGTGCACGCAGGAGCTCCAGCACTGGGACCAGGGTCTTGAGGCTGGCCACAGTAGCAGCGTGCACTCCAAACTGAATCCCAGGAAAAAAGTAATGCATCAGTCTGGGACATAGAGGTTAAGTCTAGAGACTAGGAGAGGCCTGGCACAGACCTCAGCTTAAAAGGGTTCTTTAGGACTCATTTGTGACCCGGTCTGTTCAAATACATGGTCCCTTTGCATTTTCTCTCCTCGGGTAGGTGGTTGCTTCCTTCTGTTCCCTTCTTCCTCAAGCTGTCAGATGAAGTGCCTTGTGCATACAGTTGTGTATTCGGGTGTTGATAGGCAATGCTGTTTATTTTCTCACCCTGTTTTAAGAAGACTTCTTAAAATATGTTGGTATAAAAAATCCCTCCCTAAAGCTTTATGAAAACTGGTCTTTAAGACTCAGGTCAGAATTGCAACATAGAAAAGATCCCTCCACACTCTTAATATAATCGTACATATTCCCCGTACCCATTTCCAGACTTTTTTTTATTTTTAATAAAAACAGATTTCCAGAGTTATCATGGGAACATGACTTGGAAGCGGCATGTTGGGAGGGCTGAGCTCAAGCGGTAGACTTCCGCTGCTAGAAGAGCTCAGGAGTAGAAATTGCTGGCTGACAGAGCAGAGAGTCCATTTTCATTGAAAAAACTGCAAACAAACCAATGCTTTATTGTTGGACACAGGCCTTGATTAATGAGTTGCTTTTTTTCCCGCATTACAAAAGCAACAGAAAGTTTGGAGGCTGGTATTTCAGCTCTGGAGAGAATTCAGCCCTCTTAAACTCATGAGAACATGGGGAGGGAAACAGTTCTATCCAGAAACTGTTTATACTTTGCTTTTTTTTTCCTGACTTTCTCTCATACCTAATTGTGGGGATATCTTTCTTGCACAAATAGAGCCTGCCTGGGGGTCAGAGAAATGGAGCTTGCCACTAGCTTAACCATAGAGGTCTGGAGGTCTGTACAGACAGACAGGAAGTGAGGTAGGTGGGCAGAAACAGGATATGAGGGAGAAACTGGAAATCGCTCTAGTCTGCTGAGACGCTGAGGAGGTAAGGCGTGGCTGTCTTCGCTCTGATTTCTTAGTGTTTCCTTCTGTATCTGACTCCAGCTTTTTATTATCTAGACCAATCAAGACCTGCATTTACACCTAATGTTTTAAAATTCTAGTTTAGGGCTGTCTTATTAGGCAAAGGCGCCTGCTGCTGAGCCTCAGACTTTTTAATTCCCGGACCCACATGGTGGAGGGAGGAAGGAGAATGGACATGTGACGGCTGCCCTCTGACCCCCACGTGTGCACAATAGAGTGTGGACGGGCATTGTGTATGCACAGATGTAATACATTTAAAGATTAGTTCATCTTGAAACGTCTCTGTGATCACACTGGGTTTGTAGCGGATGTTTCAATAGCGGCAATGCCCTGACCTCTGCTCTCTGGCCAAGGAACTTTTTACTATTACCAGCATGTGATACTACCCCCCACACACACCCACTCCTGAGACAGAGTTCCTCTGTGTAGCCCTGGCTGTCCTCAATCTATTGACCGTACTGGCCTAGAACTCACAGAGATCTACCTGCACACCTCTGAGTGCTGGGATTAAACTCCGGTGCCACAACCACCCGGCTCAATATTTTTATAGATAAGGTTAGGACACTTAAGTTTTCCAGCTTCTTCCAGAGACAAATTTATTTGATCACAACTGTGTGTTTCAACAAAAGGACTGAGGAGCCAATAAAACACGTTACTCAGGAAAAATGGTTTTATTTGTTTTTATCAAGATTCCTCAAAATGTTTGGAAATTTAAAATTATACTAGGCCGGTGATTTTTGAAGTGGTTCCATGATTAAGTGTACTTGGGAAGTTGGTTTCTCTCCTGCAGAGTTCTCAGATCCTTTACTATGTTAGTGAATCCGGGCCTCGGACAAACTTGGCAAGCACTTCCACACTGACATCCTTTGCCCCAAATCAGTTTTGATCAGAAGACCCATCATCTTCATAGAACGCACAGTCACACAATTCGGATTAACTCAGAACATGCCACAAATAGCATACACTGTTCTGGAAGATCCATCTGGACATGTGGGAATACTGTTGAAACATTCTTGTCTAAGATCTTCAATTTGGTCTCTCCTACAATATATTTGATGGCAGTCTTTTCTAGTTTGTAGATTTTGTTATGTTTGCAAACAAAAAAAGTGACAGAAAGAGACCGCATTCTCTATATGCATATTCTTTATTGGTAAAAACTTAATGTAAATTTAGTAAGCTCAGAGGTAGTCATGGCCCCTCCACAGCAATGTTACAGTCTTAGAGAATCTGAGCATATTTTGTTTTTTGAGACATAGTTTCTCTGTGTGGCCCTGGCTGTCCTGGAACTTGCTCTGTAGACCAGGCTGGCCTCTAACTCTGAGATCTGCCTGCCTCTGCCTCCCAAGTGCCACTTTCGAAAGGCTGTGGCTTGTGTACTAAAATACGGTAAAATGATCTGTGAGTAACACAGCACAGTGTGTGCTTAGTAGTGATGTGAAGCCTAGAACAAGCCCAGGAGTGTGAACTCTGGTGTAGGCATCCAGGACAGTATTCTTTAATCTGGCCATCACTCCCTGTCCCCAGGTCAGGAGGAAGGCAGAAGTGAGCTCACAAATATCCACTAGATCGCTGCCTCAGAAGGCGAGTCAAACTTCTATTGCAGTAGAATACCCGTGCGATGTGGATTTGTACACATCTCCTAGAAACAGATAACTTCACTCAGCGTTGCTTCGTACACTGGAAAATGGAGCTAGTGTACACCATTTTGAGAGGAATTACTTGCGAAAATTTGCTTCTGGAACAGAGCACGGAATTGATTCTTGAAAGACATTGAGAAGTGAAGTAAATAGAGGAGCCCAACCATTTCTGGTGTGCTCAGCCGTCTATTTAGGGCAAAACAAAGCACCGACTCAACGTTTCTCTAAACATTCCCCACTACCTGCTTTTTATTTATTCATTTGAGACAGGCTCTTTATTAGTAGCTCTGATTATTGATTATCCCGGAACTCTAGACCAGGCACCTGCCTCTGCCTCCTGTGTGCTGGGATTTCTCAATTGGAACAGGCACACACTCTGTGAAGAGTGTCCTTGAAAATGACGCGATTCTTGCTAACCAGCTTTTCAGTTGCAGTCTGCCTTCAAAGTAGTCACTCACCCAAATATTAGTTGTGCTTTCTCAACCCGGAGGAGTACCAGAATGTGGTCTGTACCACCATGTTAGCAGTCAGGGCCACTGGGGAGCATGTGTCATCGTCATCGTGTGTACCGCTCGCTATACAAGGGTCACACCTGAGTTTGGAACCTCAGAACATATCCGCCAGGTTAGAGGACACACACGGTGGGTGTTGTGGAGATTAGAGGACCCAGACTATAGAATAATTTCACCGTCATGTTTTGTATTGAGATCGAACCCAAGACTTAGTGTATACTAAGCACACTTATCACCGAGCTGTGCCCCTCATCCTGTTTGGTTGATTTTACATTGGGTTTTGATACAAATTTCTGATTTAAATCATGTTACCTTAAGATGGACATAGTGGTCCAGACCATAACAGCTACTTTGGAGTCTAAGGCAGGCAGACTCAAAGCCAGCCTGGAATTTGGTGAGTTCGAAGCCCAGCCTACACAATTTTGTGAGACCCTGGGTCAAAACAAAGGGTAGCAGAGCAGTAGGTGTGACTCAGTGGCCGAGCACTTTCCCCAAGTGTGTGAAGCCCTGGGCCAGACTCCAGCAAGGCACATCCATGTGCAAGTTACTTCAATAAAACCAGTTTTCTGTTAGAAAATTGAGCCATGAGCCAGCTTGGAAAACAGCTCATTTCCTTTAAAAACTACCCTAGAAAAGGGTCAGTCAGAATTCAGAGACCCACACCCCATGGCAAACAAAGTTTGCTCTTACAAATTCTATTGCCTTTGCTTTTCTGACATGGGTCCAGGTTGGTCTTCTTGCCTCGGCCACCACACCTGGTTTTATGCTTTCCATTTATACTTTAAAGGTAATATACCCAAATCACTTTCTGAAATATTAATACATGCTTTCCAAGATATAAGCTAATGATTATTTAAGTAAAATGATCAAGATATCCATGCTTTTTTTTTCAAATTTACAAGTGGTTAAAAAACTTCAATACTATGGATATTAAAATAGAGAGTAAGTTTGGCACCAACAAAGGACACTAAGATGCCCATGGATCTCTTTGGCCCTTTGGAGTCTCAAGCTGTCACCATGGGCCAAGTCCCCCATGATTTCAGGGCCGTTCCGGGCTATGACTGAGAACCAGATGATGAAATGCCCGTGGAAAATGCCCAGCGCTCAGAAAGCTGCACACCAGAGCTGTTACTGACTTTCCTGTTTGGGTCTCATCCCCATTTATCTGTCTGGTTTTGAGACACTGTCTCCCACTGTGTAGCCCAGCTAGCCTAGCATCCAGATTCTCCTGCCTCTGCCTCCTGAGTGCTGGATTAAAGGGGTGTGCCACCACACCCAGCCTTCTCTTAATTCTTTCGATGAATTAGAATAAATTTACTTCCACAGGGGACACTTTTACTACAGACTCTAAGAATTTTTTTCTATGTGTGTGCTCTAGAAGGCCGTGTGAAATGCATCTAACAGCTAGCAAACACCCTCCCGATACCCCTACAG